TGGCTCGCGCGGCTGTTCGGTTTGTGCTTTGGAAGGGGAGCTGAGGGCCCGGGTAAGCGGGGTAAGTGCGGTCGGGCACACGCAGATAAAAACGCCTGGCTCCGCGCGGGGAGCGCCTTGTCTACGCAGAGACGAGTACTACTATTTTTTTATTATTTTTCTTTCGGTAGTAGAGCTGAGGTTTCATTCTATCATTAAAAAAAAAAAAAAACACAAAGAAACCCAAACCAAACAACCAACAAATCAAAAAACAGTACCAACAGCAAAAACATCCAGGTTAAAGCGATGCAGCTGAAGACTCTTTCAGCCAGAATTGCCTTCAGGACTTTTCAGGGGGGAGGACAAGAAACACGGATTCTTTCTGTTGCAGAGGTTGTAACAAACCTTACCCATTTCTGGGATTCAGCCTTGGAGTTTTGCATCCTTTTGCCTTGGGTTTGTTTTGGTGCGTTTTTTTCCCTTTTAATAGACAGGGATCGCATGGCTTTTTGCAGATATGAGGGCTTACGAAGCTGCTCAGTAATAACGCCCGCATGTGTCAGGGGAGGTTAACTTTCAACGTCAACAAATTTTTAAACTTAATTTCAACCCTGTGTTGCGCTTCTCCCTGGACGTGGGCTGTTGGTAGCGCGTGCGGGAGGAGTGCCACGCAGTGTCTCAGCTCTGGCTGTACCGAGTAATCTGGCCATTTCCAAGTCATGAAACCAGTGAAAGCAGAGGATAGTTACCTATTAGAAATGACTGGTTTTGGCAAGGACCTTTACAGCCCATCCAGTGCCTGTTGAAACGAACAGAAAAACTCTCACTGGTAATGACTCATGTCCGTGGGCTTCAGACCAGGATGCCGGTGCGTGGCATTGGAAAGCGTCTGGGGCTGATCCCGAGCAGCGCACTCCGGTAGGTAACCCTCCTGCACTCCCCAGGGTTTGTGGAGGGCGGGGGATAAGGTGGAGAGTGGCAGCAGAGAACAGCTAGCGGGATTACAGCTTGGTTTAAGCGTGCTTGCCAATTATTAATAGTCTTGGATGTACGTTCTTTAGGGTTTTTAAATGTCATTGACCTTTAATTAATTACTAGTGGCTTAGTCTGTTGCTGTCTGCTAGTCTGATGAAGCAGCCGACTTGCAGCTTTTGTTTCCGTGTTAATGACTATTGTGACAGTATCTCGGGGTGTACGATGTCTGTTTTGAAACTTCCAGATGATGGAGTACTTGTGTGCGCTAGTTACAGGCTTACTCAGTAATAGACTCATCTGGGAACATACGGATTAGCTGGTTGCCAGATTTCCCGGCCAGAAGGGACCTTGTCTATCATCTGTTCTGATCCCTTGCTTATTATAGGCCATGGGATTTCACAAGTGAATTCTGTATCAAGCGTGTAACTTCTGTGTGGTCTTCACCTGCCATTAAAGACAGGCTCCATCCACAGCAGGAGTTCAAGCATGTTCTAAACTGCCTAGCGGCTCACAGGCTTGAGCTCTGAATGGGTGAGTAATATCTACCACTTCAAATGTCTGTAATTAGGATGAGAGCTATTTTGGTCTATCAAAATACGCTTTTGCATATAATGCTTATTAAAATGCATCAGGTGAATTATACTGCTTGTGGCACACGTACTGGCAGAGCTGCCTTCTCCTCGTTGCATGAGGGTGAAACCCTGTCAGGGGCCCCTCAAAGTGGCTTTGGACTTGCCGTTGGAAAGTTCTTTTGTTCTCTCTGAGCTGTGGTGCAAATCCAATACCATGGTTTCTGCTGGTTTCTTCTGCTTTTCTGAATTTGCCTGTCGTGCAACAGTTAGATTCTGGTGGGGCTTTCTGCCTTACCCTGCCATGGCTTTCTGCAGAAAGAGGAGAAAATGCTTTGGGTCCCATCTGGACTTCTCAGCTCTGCGTAGAGTTGGGAAGGTGGGCTGCCTCTGCTACCCCATGGCGTGCTGATGGCCATTGTGGCTTCCCATTAGAGGTACCTTGTAAGATGGTTCCCGCTGTTTTTCCCCCTTGGACGAACCTTGCTGCAGAGCCTGCATCAAAGCAGCCAGGGTGATGTATCACCACCTCTGTGTGAGCAGATAGCTAAGACTTTTGGAGCGTGTCGAAATGGCATAGGGCAGTGGGTATTACGGTACCTAAGAGAGCTCCTCCAAAGATAGCACAGTTAATTAATGCAGGTATGACAGCACGTTCTGTTGTTGTAGCTGCAAGTTTTCTTCTAAAATTCCTCCTTCCACCACTGGTTAGCTGCAGATACTGTGGATACTGACCTCCAGGGACCCTGCCTGAGACTTGTCTGTCTGTCTGCAGGGACTGGACAGTAAGGAGGAGTACTGCTGATTTTGCATCCTCCACTGACACTACTGGAGTTGGATTAGCTTCAAATGTTTCATATGTGGTTGAAGATTAAAGAGGTAACAACATCTGTACAACGTGGCCCTCTGGCAGTGTCCTGCCAAAGAAGTATCGCAGCCTGGTGTCACGCTGTTGCGGGGGACAGCCCTGACTCTGTGAGAGTCAGGAGGGGAAAACACGGACAACAAGGGGGAAATTGGGGAGACAGTTTTCTAGCTTGCTTGGTTCCCCTTCCCCACAGCTGGGGACCAGTGTGGCATGTGGATGAACTAGGACCTCATGGAGAGAAAAAAGCCAGTCCTGCTTCGCCAAACCTCTGGCTGCAGCACTAAGGTAGAGATGGGCAAGCTTAGGTACTGGCTCTGCTTTTACCGTGGTCTTCACACGTGCTAATTTATCTTCCATATTAATGTGCCTACGCTGTTTCTGGTGCTTCAGCTGACTCCCGTAACACTGGTTGTAATGTGTATGTTTACAACCTGCAAGGATGCACTGGAGAACACCAGAGGGAGAGAAAGAGAAAACAACAAAGGCAGCGGGGAAGAGAGGAAATCTGGCATGTTGCTGCTGAACTATGAGGCTTGTCTAAAAGGAAAATTGGCATATGTCTGCTCTCTCTGTTCCAACACCTTCCTGAATTTGTATAGAGTGTTACTTGTTCCTTCTCCAAAGTAGATACAAACTCTTTCAGAGATGTGCCTAGTATTAGAAACTTCATCTGCATTTGAAAACACAGCTAGCATCTGCATAGCTTGTTCTTTGCAATTAGTTTTTTCTCCAGGTGCCCTGATACAAATTTTAGAGGGGTTGTTTTTGCCAACCTTCTGAATGGATTCATCCTCAGACTGTAATTGATCCAATGACATATTACCCTCCAGCTAGCTAGAGCAAGCCCAGAAGAGCCATTGCGGGCATCCTTCGTTTAAAATAGAACACAGGAAAAGTATGTGAGAGCATTACTAAGGTAGGCACAGCAGATTTCCACTGCAGAGAGGGAGGTCTTCCTTTCCTTTTGGAAGCTGGCAGGAAGAAATGCTGCTGCTGTTTAGAGCCACTCTGTTAAAGGGAGGAAAAATATTAATGATCCTGTGCAGGAAAGCTTGTCACAAAATCGAAATACTGAAAATCACCAAAGTGATAATACAAAGTAGAACGCTTACCAAGGAATTGTCTCTGTTTGTCATCCTCGCTGTATCGGTCCACTCGGTGCTGTGCTGTAGTTATTCCTCAGTTCCCTTACCATGATGCACCCCTTCCCACAGCAGAGTGTCTTATCTTTCTCTCTCT